GATCCTCTTCAAGCTGGTTCCTTTGTCCTTTTGACATGTCCCCATCATTCTTTGAACTTACCTTTTACACAACAAGACGTTCCAGGCATATCCTATTTGTCACTGCCCCAGCTTCATAATCGGTCATATCGCAACAAGCCCTGGTGGAGAAGATTTGTTTTAATGGAGATACAATCTCATATTTAGAAGAGGAATGATTTAAGAGCATGGGGAAAAATGGTGAGATAGGAGAATTACTGGAATAATGTCCTTGAAAAGGTGAGAGGAGCTAAAGTTTAGTTTCTAAATAGAGGGGTTGGCCTTAGCATGGGAGCCCAGACAGGTTTTTTCCATAAAAAGGCAAAGGTAGAAAATACGGTCACAAATGCTATTAGGTGAGCATATCTGGTGGTGGGAGCTTATGGAAATGCTCTTCCTTGTTGCTTTTTATTTTCTCATTGAAATATATAGAAAGCCATAAACTGAGCATGAGTTTGGGGAGGAAGTGGGTATTAAAAGTTTGAGGAAAGCCCACCTGGCGTGGCTTAGTGGTTGAGTGTAGACCTATGAACCAGGAGGTCATTGTTCAATTCCCGGTCAGGGCACGTGCCTGGGTTGCCAGCTCCAATCCCCCCAGTGTGGGACGTGCAGGAGGCAGCCGATCAATGATTCTCTCTCATCATTGATGTTTCCATCTCTCTCTCCCTCTCCCTTCCTCTCTGAAATCAATAAAATATATTTTAAAAAGAAAAGTTTGAAGAAAGCGGCAAAGCTATAAAATAAGTTTCTAGGAGAATGGTAGAAGGAACAGTAGTAAGATTGCCAGGCAGCATTAAGTACCTACTTGAAATTCGTTGTTCTAAAGAACTAATCTCTTTGTTGAATTTGGTGATTATCTTTTCCTAAACTTTAGTTTTTTCATAGATTTTTGTTTCCTTGTAGATGTGATCCATTAGTTTCTGTTCCTTTGGAGATTCTCCACCATTTATGGTTTGTGGATGGCACTCTTTTTTTAGTTTTACTGTAGTATTAGAGCGGATGTATATGTTCCTTGTTATCATGTTGATTTAGTCTCTTAGAATTTTTTATCTGCGTGAATAATGCGGATTAACATTATAAGAGAAAGGTGACTGAGTGATTTTTGTTGTTGTCAATGTTTAGCATTGACAAGGAGGAGAAGGGGTTTTTGTTGATATGTCTTTAGGAGCAGTGACAGAACTATCCAGATCTCAGACTTTGAATGCATCAGTAGTCAATAAATCTACATAGTAGCATATCTGAGTTGTCTATTCATAAAATCACTCTGGAGATTGTGGTTCTTAGCAATTCTTATTTTCCTACTGTTTCCTAGCTGATCTCAGTGAAATAATTTTCAACTCTACTTTCTTTTTTAATAAATATATTTTTATTAAAGAGAGAAGAAGGGAGGAGAGATAGAAACATCAGTGAGAGAGGAACATCATCAACCAGTTGCCTCCTGCATGCCCCCCACTGGGCATCAAGCCCACAACCCGGGCATGTGCCCTGACTGGGAATCAAACAGGGACCTCCTGGTTCATGGGTCGACGATGCTCAACCACTGAGCTACACTGGCCGGGCAGCTCCACTTTCTTAATCAGTGAAGTACTTAATATCTTTACACTTCAGACTTGGTGATTTTAATTCTAACCATGGAATGGTAGTTACTGAAGATAACAGTGCCTTTTAGATGTTTACTTTGTCTCTGCTTATGTTTCTATTCTTCTGTTTATTTTTTTAATATATTGATTTCAGAGAGAAAGGGAAAGGGAGAGAGAGATACAAACATCAGTGATGAGAGAGACACATCGTTTGGTTGCCTCCTGCATGCACCCCGACTAGGGCTGGGGTTCAAGCCTGCAACTTAGGTATGTGCCCTAGACTGTAATTGAACCCTGGACCTTTAATTCCTCAGGCCGACGCTCTATCCACTGAGCCAAACCAGCCAGGGCTCTTCTACTGTTTTTAAGACAGTACAGAAACTATATGAAGAATAGACTTCGTTTTGTTGATATATATAATGCTGATATCAATTGGCCAAAGAATCTGCAAGTTCAGTTTATTGAGAAACATCTGTGGGCTTACTGTGTGTGAATATGATTAAAACAATCAAATTTATTCTGATAAAGAAGATTTTAATATAATGAGATCATTTTTCTGAAGCATTCTAGCAGAGTAAATCTTACAGTTAGTGAACTGACACTGAGGACCAAGCAAGCCACCTCATTTCATTTTCACTGTAACTTCCTCTATAAAAGTAGTTAATTCCATTAAATGAAAATCTTTGTGTAAAAATTGAGAAAGTTATGACTGGTTTCTTTAGAAAGCGTGATTCTGGCTTTCAGGGTATTAAACCATTTATGTAAAAATGCTATTTTGCACAATAGTGGTTTTATGTGAAATTACTGTAATTGAAGGGAAATTGGTCTAAGTAGTGGGTGTGTTCCCTGAACATTGTCAAAAAAAATGTTCGCAAAAGGCACACACTGCTTTGTATAGTTTCATAATGTCCAAGGACATTAGTCATTTGGATTGATTTACAGGGACATTATTCAGCCTTCTCCCCTTTGAATGTAAATTAGGTAAAGCATGGAGTATGTTGAAAGAATGGGGACCTTTCTGGTTGATCTCATTCTCCTGGAAGGAACCAGCCTATAAAATAGCACAGTTGAAATCTTCAATTTGGGAAATTGGTGGAATGAGATAAGAGAATGATTACTTGTGGGTTACTACTACTATATAAGGTATTTAAGGAAAAGGCAAACTGTTTTTTCAGGGGGATAGTATGAAAGGTATTTTTTATTTTATCACTAGTAGCTCATCGGGCGATATCATAGGCCACCCGCTGCTTCTGCTTCCGCTTCCGCTCTGCGCCCGCTTCCGCGCTTCCGCTTCCGCTTCCTCAGGAGCCGGCGGGAACCGCAGCGTGCCGCGGGAAGCCATGTGGCTTTCACGGGAGGCAAAAGCGAGCCGCTGGCGCCTACGGGAGCCAGAAGGGAGCCACCCTGCTGCCGAGGTAGGCGGGCCCACTGTCTCCTCTCCAGGCCTACACTCGGCCACGGAGGCTGCAGGCCAGCCCCCTGCCCCTGTCTGTGTCCGCTCGTCTGTGTCCGCTCGGGCTCCGGGGGCCTGGCCCTCCTGTGTCTGTCTCCGTCTCCCGCTGGGGGCCTCACATGCTCAACCTCCTCCTGTAGGGTCGTAACCCGTTACGACATCCCGTAATTTGCATATTTCCTGTTTTTATAGATATAGATATAAAGATATTGTACATTTGCCCAGACCGGTTTGGCTCAGTGGTAGAGCATAGGCCTGCGGACTGAAAGGTCCCAGTTTCGATTCCGGTCAAGGGCATGTATCTTGGTTGCGGGCACATCCCCAGTAGGGGGTGTGCAGGATGGACAGCTGATCGATGTTTCTGACTCTATCCCTCTCCCTTCCTCTCTGTAAAAAATCAATAAAATATATTTTTTGGGGGAAAAAAGATACTGTACATTTGACATTTTCAGTTTTTATGTGTACAGCCAATTTTGAAATGGAGTTTTAATAATTTGGACTTAATACTGATTGCTAGTGTTAATACATAGAACCAGTTTTTATACCACAACTTAATTACCCTGGATTGTTAAATTTTGCTAAGTGCCTCTGTAGTTAGGAAAATGGGTTTGTGTAATTTTTCAAGGTTAATTTGGTGTGCTATTTTTGATCCTTTGGGTATGTGAAACTTACCTTTCACTTACATTCATACATGAAATATAATTTGGGTAGGAAAAAAAATATCAGATTGCAACCTTTTCTTTTTTTTCTACAAGATATTTTGTTCTGCCCTGGCCAGGTAGTCCAGTTGGTCAGAAAGTTGTCCAGTACGATAGTTGTGGGTTTGGTCCCTGGTCAGGGCACATACAAGAATCAACCAATGAATCCTATATAATAAAAGTTTAATATGCTAAGTGTCCAGTCATCCGGTCATCTGTTCAACCAATCAAAGCGTAATATGCTAAGGCTGCTCAACCGCTCACTATGATGTGCACTGACCACCAGGGGGCAGACACTCTGACCAGTAGGTTAGCTTGCTGCTGGGGTCTGGCCTATTGGGACTGAGCAAAGACCAGTTAGACATGCCCTGGAGCCCTCCCGCTACCCCTCCCCAGCCCCAATTGTTCACTGGTGGGGTCCCTTGGCCTGGCATGCACCCTCTCACAATCCGGGCCCCCAAGAGGGATGTCAGAGAGCCGGTTTCGGCCCGATCCTGCAGGCCAGGCCAAGGGACCCCACTGGTGCACGAATTCATGCCCCGGACTTCTAGTACATAAATAAGTGGAACAACAAATTGATGTTTCTCTCTCTCCATCTCTTTCTTAAAGCAATCAATCCTTTTTTTTTAACTATAAAAAATACATATTCCACCGAAACCGGTTTGGCTCAGTGGATAGAGCGTCAGCCTGCGGACTGAGAGGTCCCGGGTTCGATTCCGGTCAAGGGCATGTACCTGGGTTGTGGGCACATCCCCGGTGGGGGATGTGCAAGAGGCAGCTGATCGATGTTTCTCTCTCATCGATGTTTCTAACTCTCTATCTCTCTCCCTTCCTCTCTGTGAAAAATCAATAAAATATATTTTAAAAAAAAATACATATTCTGACTCGACTGGCATGGCTCAGTGGTTGAGCATCAACCTGTGAACTAGGAGGTCACGGTTCAATTCCTGGTCAAGGAACATGCCCTGGTTTTGGGCTCATTCCTCAGTAGGGGGTGTGCAGGAGGCAGCCAATTGATGATTCTCTCTCATCATTGATGTCTATCTCTATCTCCCTTCTTCTCTGAAATAAATAAAAATATATTTTAAATTTTTTGAGGTAAACATACAAAAGTGTAGATATTCTTCCTGGATATTGAATTAACCAAAATATGAAATGTAACATGTATATTTTCTGAAATAATACCAAATTTCATCTTTAGCCTGAAGTTTGCTATTATCATAACAAATTTTATTTCTATACTGTTTACAGCCTGTATCCCAACCAGCTGCAGTTGAACAACAAGCAGTGCTTCTAAAACCAGATTTAGTTAGAAGGTGAGTACCTTCAAATTTAATACCATGGAAATGATAAGGGTATGTTGAAGTATTTTCATTCATTAGGGGCCTGTTGTATCATGACTGAAGAAGATTTTGTGTTCTTGAATTTATGTGTATGTTCAATAAAAATAGTAGGTATAGTTTTTTACTTTTTTATTTTAATGAAGCTCATATATATTGTGAAATTATTGACCATTTTCTTGTTCTCATTATAACATTCCTGTGTCTGAGAAAAGCTTAGAAGAATTAGTAAAGAAAATAATATAATTTAGAGTAAATTTTCTAAAGAAATAAGTTATAATGATATATATATAATTGTGCTATTATTTGGCAGTTGTAAATTAATGTTTTACTCTGTGTTATTCAGATTGGCTAATTCCTATTACTTTTTTCAGGTTCACTGATTCTTTCCTTTGTCCTATTCATTCTGCTATTATGCCCATTCCAATGCATTGTTTTTTTGTCATTGTACTTATAGGTCTATAATTTTCATTTGGTTCTTTTTTAATATCTTCTATTTTTAATGAGATTTTTCAATTTTTTTAATGTGCTTCAAGAGTATTTGTAATTACTTACTGAATCGTTTTGATGATGACTGCTTTAAAATCCTTGTCAGTTACTTCCAATTTCTTATTCATTCTGGTGTTGGTATCTGTTGACTGTCTTTCCACATTCAAAGTGTGATTTTTCCAGGTTTTTGGTATGACAGGGAATTTTCATTTGTCTCCTGGACCTTTTGGATATTATGTTAGGGACTCTGGACCCTACTTAAATATTGTAGTTGATCAGGAAGTTACCCTGTTCTGATGACCACTTAGTTTTCACAGTCCTTGGAGAGTGATTCTGGTCTCCTTGGATCACCTGCCGTTCCTGGCCCCACCTCTGGGTGGAAGAATTGGGAGTACTCTCTAGGCCCTCTGTCCCAGGCCAGATCTCTAGGTCACATGCTGCTGGTGGTGTGGCCACCAGTGTCATCAGGGGGAGAAAAGGGCTTACCTGAACCACTTTCTGCTGCCAGGTTGGGGGTCAGGAGACCACTGAACTTGGGCTGCCTTTGCCTTTGGGCTTTGAGTTAAGAAACACTAAATGTGGACAGCCTTGTGTCACTGGGTAGGTAGATAGCAAGTTGTAGTCTTTTTCCTTAAGTTCTGGAAAGTCCCACAGGAAGTCCTGTGATTGTCTACTGTATTATTTCTAGATTTTTTAGTTGTACTTTGAGGGGAGATGCAGGGAGAATTGAGTTTCTGTCATCTTGTCCCAAACCCTATACTAGTTTTTTAAAGTAACTCTGCAGCCCTGGCTAGTGTGGTTCAGTGGTTGGAGCATCGACCTGCACATGGTTCTCCGGTTCATTTCCTGGTCAAGGGCACTTACCTGGGTTGCAGGTTCCATCCCTGGCCCCAACAAATCAATGTATGTCTCACGTGGATATCTCTCTCTTTCTCTCTCTCCCTCACCCCCTCTCCCCCTCTCTCTCCCTCTCTCTCTTCTCCCCCCATCCCTACCTTCCACTCTCTAAAAACCAATAGAAACGAATATCCTGGGGTAACCCATCTGGCTTGGCTCAGTGGTTGAGCATCGACCTATGAACTAGGAGGTCACGATTCAATTCCTGGTCAGGGCATATGCCCTGGTTGCAGACTCAATCCCCGGTAGGGGACATGCAGGAGGCAGCCGATCAATGATTCTCTCTCATCATTGATATTTCCATCTCTCTCTCCCTCTCAGGAATCAAAAATATATTTTCTAAAACTTACCCATTTAAAGTATACAGTTCAATCGCTTTTAGTACATTCACAGGATTGTAAAGTCATAACTTTTTAAAAGATATTGTACTACTTATTTATTTTCCATAACTCATTATTTATGATTTTAAATTGGGAGGTTTTCTTAGAATTTTAATATCAGGATGAAATGATTCTAGCCATGAAGAAAGTTTATTTGGTAAGTCTGATTGGGGTTAAATATTGGGTTTTGAGAATCACAGAAGAATGTCTATTCTGAGAAATTGAATAGAAGTTGCTTCTGTATTTTTAATTACTAGTTTGCAGCATGATGTGGCAGCCGTGAAGGAAAACAACAACACCCCTGATAACCCAAGTGGAAATGGCAAACAGGATCGGATCAAACAGAGAAGAGTGTCCTGTCCTCGACCAGAGAAGGCGACCAAGTTCCAGCTTACTGTCCTGCAGGTCAGTGTGTGAACATGGGTGGGCTAAGTGTGCATAGAGGTCTGGGGAGTCAGGGAGGGGCAATGTTACTGTGCAAGTAGGGTATTGTGAGACTCTCTAAATTAACTTTTCCTTCATTAAAAGTTTTTAATGATAAGAGTATTATGTATTAATTGTTAAACATAGGAAATATAAGGAAAATAAAAATCACTTGTACTGCCCTAGCTGGTTTGGCTCAGTGGCTAGAGCATCGGCCTGTGGAGTGAAGAGACCTGGATTCGATTTCGGTCAAGGGCACATGCCCGGGTTGGGGGCTCAATTCCCAGCGTGGGGCGTGCAGGAGACAGCCGATCAATGATTCTCTCTCATCATTGATGTTTCTATCTCCTTCTCTCTCCCTTCCTCTCTTAAACCAATAAAGAAATATATTTTAAAAAATAAAAATAAAATAATAAAATGGCTGCCTTGGATAGTTCCTTGTATAGAGATAAAATAATTTAATCATGCATTCTGTGTGGTTTTTTTTTCATTTAGGTTGTTTCTTTCTGTTTGTCTCTCTCCATCTCTGTCTTTGCAGCAAACACCCTTGAACCACAAACCTTTGTACATATCCCTGATTTTTTTCCTTGTGTTAGATTCCTAGAAGAAGAATTAGTGGGTCAAGTATTATGAAGATTACATGTTGCTAGATCACTGTTTTAGCAGCATGTTGGACCAGTTTACATTTTCATTAGCAGTGCCAACATTGCTCAGTGATTGAACATCCATCTATGAACCAGGAAGTCATGGTTCTATTCCTGGTCAGGGCACATGCCCGGGTTGCAGGTTCGATCTCCAGGAAGATGTGTGCAGGAGGCAGCCAATCAATGATTCTCTCTCATCATTGATATTTCTATCTCTCTCTTCCTCTCTGAAATCAATGAAAAAATATTTTTTTAAAGAGAATTTTGGAAATCAATGACCAAATTTAGGTCTTTGCATTGCAGATAGTGATATTGACTATTATAACTTGTTTTTGCCTTGTTATAAAAGTTCGCTTTCCACCTGGCCAGGGTGGGTCAGTGGTTGAGTGTCAACCCATGAACCAAGAGGTCACCGGTTCAATTCCTGATCAGGGCATGCCATAGTTGTGGGCTTGATCCTCTATAGGGGGTGTGCAGGAAACAGCTCATCGATGTCCCTTCTCAAATTGATGTTTCTCTCGCTCTCTCTTCCCCTCTCTAAAAATCAATTTTAAAATCTTTTAAAATATATCATTATTTTTTGCCCAAGGCCAGTTTGGTTCAATGAATACCTAGGTTCAATCTAGTCAAGGGCATGTAGCTTGGTTGCAGGCTCAATCCACAGTCTTGGTCAGGGCACATGTGGTAGGCAACCAGTCGATGAGTCTCTCTCACATCAATGTTTCTCTTGGGTGAGTATTAGCAATATATATATAATTTTTTAAATGCCATTGGCATTTTGATGGAGATCACATTAAATCTGTATATTGCTCTGGGTAAGATAGTCATTTTAACTATGTTGATTCTTCCGACAATGATTGATTCTTAATCTGGTGGTGAAATGTTTGTACCCAGGTGTCAACCTCTGGAGACAACATGGTAGAGTGTCAGCTGGAGACACACAATAACAAGATGGTCACCTTCAAGTTTGATGTTGATGGTGATGCACCCGAGGATATTGCAGACTATATGGTAAGTACAATAAAACCGAATGATTCTCCTTTCAGTGTTCTCTCTTTTTTCCCTGTAACTCTTCCCCCATTTATTCAGAGTCATCTTTTTCTTACGATACGGTTTTTAAAATTTGTGCAGATCTAAATTGGTTATGATCAAGAGGAAACCAGTGCACCTCCTCTGGTTTCAGTTCATTTATCTGCAAAATATGAAGGTGTTTCATTAAGAGATATTTTAGGTCAGTGGTTCTTTATCCCAGGCTGCATGTTAAAATGACCTGAAGAGGTATTCTAAAAACCAATTCCCTGGGTCCTTAATTAAATCAAGAGTCTTTGGAGATGAGGCCTAAGCATCAATCCTCCTATTTAATAAAACCCTAATATGCAAATTGACAGAACGACTGGTCGCTATGATGCACACTGACCACTAGGGGGCAGACGCTGAACACAGGAGCTGCCCCCTGTTGGTAAGTGCGCTCCACAGGGGCCGCGTTGCTCAGCCAGAAGCCAGGCTCACAGCTGGCGAGCGCAGTGGTGGTGGCAGGAGCCTCTCCTGCCTCCGCAGCAGTGCTAAGGACCTCTCAAGGGATGTCCACCTGCCAGGGAGCGGGCCTAACCCAGCAGACGGACATCCCCCGAAAGGTCCCAGACTGCGAGAGGGCACAGGCCAGGCTGAGGGGCTTCCCCCCCCCTCCCCCCAGTGCATGAATGTCCTGCACCGGGCCTCTAGTAGTTTATAAAGTTCACCAGGATTTGCTCTCCTTCCCAGGAGCATGCCTATGAACACAACACCTGCCCACCCCGGCTTCTTTCCCCACAGGCATGCATCTCCTGAACTTTAAGGGACCCCACAAGGTTTGCAACCAGGGCAGCAATGGGCAGTGGCAGTTCATCCCGGGCAAACACCCTGAGCCTGTCCCCAAGGTCGTCTTTTCTCTAACTTCTTAGTGAGCCTAAGTAACCCAGTCTAGGCTCATTTTCCCAGCCCTTCCTTATTCCACTGTCCCCAGCTTAAATAAATAAATAAAAGTTCACCAGTTACTTTTGATGTGTTAGCTACTGCTATAACATGTTATATTTCAGTGTTTTAAGTAATATTCATTATGTCATTTAGTTTTTATATTTTTCTTGGATTGTTAGGCTTAAGTTAGTATTTTCCTGTTTATTTGTCTGTTTATTATTTTTTAAAAGAATAGTTTATTGATTTTGAAAGAGAGAGGAAGGGAGACGAGAGAAACAGAGCATAACATTAATCAGCTGCCTCCTATACGCAACCCGGACGTGTGCCCTGACCAGGAATCGAACCAGAAACCTCTCGGTGCTTGCAATGACACTCCACTGTGTCACACTGTCCAGGGCATATTTTTGCATTTTTTAAAAATGGGGATGAGCCCAGCTGGTTGTGGCTCAATGGAGCAGGAGGTCAGGGTTCAATTCTGGTCAAGGCACATGCACAGTTGCAGGCTCGATCCCCAGAAGGGGATGTGCAGGAGGCATGATCAATGATTCTCTCTCATTATTGATGTTTCTATCTCTCTCTCCCTCTCCCTTCCTTTCTGAAATCAATAAAAATACATTTTAAAAAAATAGAAATAAAAACCTATTTTTAAAACTGGGAATGGGCTAGGGTGGCAGGAAGAGTACACAATGCTTTTGTTTTTGCCAGTTTTCTTTAGAGATATATTCCTGGCCATTGCCTCAGTTATGTCCTTCAAATGACAATCAATTTATAGAATGCCAGATCGTTTTTCAAATGCTGGCTTCTTCTCTGGTGGGTAATGCCAACCTGACAAATGGTAGTGGTCTCAAAATAGAACTAATAATTTAATATCTGGTCTTTGTTAATTCTGTTGTGGCATTTGGATGTAAATAATTAATTTTAATTTCGTTTTCTTTAAGGTAGTAACCATTGATAGACATAATTATAATTTTGAAGACACTGAATTCATTTTCGTAAATAGACTTACTTTTACTTTTGGACAGGTTGAAGATAACTTTGTGCTGGATAGTGAGAAAGAAAAATTTGTAGAAGAATTGAGGGCTATTGTAGGTCAAGCCCAGGAGATTCTACATGTCCACTGTGCTGCAGAAAGAGCCACTGGAGTTGACTCTGTCGCTGTAGAACCCAACAGTGGCCAAGTAAGAACAATTATTTAGCAAATAGGTCTTCTGGGATATGTATCAGGAACTTCTTTATTTACCTATTCATTTTTAATTCAGACAGGGTCATCTGAACAAGCACAGATAAATTCTGCATCCACTCAAACCAGCAGTAAGTATATTTAATAAAATTTACCATTTGGCATTTGAAACATTTGGAGACTTCAATTTACACATCTTCATTGAGAAAGATGTTAGCCAATAAAGGAATTAGATAAGTTGTTAATGTAGAATTTCCCACACTCTGAAAGAACTTTATAGCCCAGAAGAAAATAGAATAAGAAGTAAAACCATTCTCCAAATTTCCTTCAAGTGTTGGTTGTTTACCTGATTAATTTATTTCTGAGCTGCTGTATGGTATGCTACCAGAAAAGCAGTCATGGTAGTGATGATTTTTAATGGCTTTATTATTTGAACTTGACTGCCAAGTCCCCCCCATCCCTAATTTGAGATGTACAAAAACGTTCTTAACTAAAATCATTATGTTCAAAGTCTGCCTTGTGTTTTAATTGTCACTGATATCATGATTTCATTCCTCTAGTGACAAGCTTCTCCTTGCTCTGGTCACTAAGTTTTTGTAAATCAGATACCAGATAAACTTCCAGGGACTAAAAAGGGGTCCTCTGTTTTCTCTGATGACTTTATCTCTCCATTCTTCTCAGCTCTGGTCATGGGTATATTTAGAGTATCTGGGAGGGGGAGAAAAGCCATAGACAAATGAGGACCTCTGAAGGAATTATAACGACACGAAGAAGCAACAGGTGGTGTGCAAGTCATGGAACCAGATACCATTACCCTGAAATTCAATTTGTGTTGGAATGCCAGGGTCCTTCTCTATCCACTTTTTCTCATTAGCAGGAGTCTGAACAGATTTCTGGCTGGCAAACTAGGGTAACGTTTAATAGAGAATTACTTATTTCAGTAAGTTTACAAAGGCTTATTTTACTTATTTTTTTCAAGTTGTCATACAGTAAAATTGACTTTTTTCTTTTGGTGTACAGTCCTGGAAGCTGTAATACTCAGTGTAGATTTCTGTAAGCACCATAATCAGGATACAGAACAGGAAATGTAGGCCTTAATGGTAAAAGTGCTTTCTTCCTCCCCTATCCCCCTCCCAAAAAAAAGTGCCTGGCTTCTAACTGCTATTGAAATGTTTCTTTCAGAAGAATCTAAAATCTTTCTCTAAAGTCATCTTATGCTTAATTCTTTTTAAAACATTTTTTTTAGTTTTTATTGATTTGAGAGAGAGAGGAAGGGAGAGGGAGATTGAACTATAAATGATAGAGAAACATCGATCAGCTGCCTCCTGCTCACCCACTACTGGGGATTGAGCTTTCAACCCGGGCATGTGCCCTGACCGGGAAATGACCTCTTGGTGCATGGGACGAAGCTCAACCAACTGAGCCACACCGGCTGTGCTATTCTTTTTTTGTTGTTGTTAATCCTCACCCGAGAATATTTTTCCATTGCTTTTTGAGAGAGTGGACGGGTGTGGGGAGAGACAAAGAGAGAGAAACATCAATGTGAAAGAGACAAATTGGTTGCCTCCAGCACACCCCCCCACCAGGACTGGGGATCTAGCCTGCAACCGCGGTATGTGCCTTTGACTGGAATCAAACCCGGGACCCTTCAGTCTGAGGGCCCATGGTTCAACCACTGTGCCAAACCAGCTGGGGCAGGGCCAGGCTATTCTTAATTCTTTAGAGTATTTTTCAGGATTGGGGAGGAGGTCTGGTCTCATAAATTGCACGCATCCTAGTGTTGTTGGAAATGGAGGTACAAGAAAAATTGGTGTTTTAACCTGGTTTCCTTAGTCAATAAGGTAAACATGCTGACAGTTGCTTAGCATATTAAATTCTCCACAGATGAATCTGCTCCTCAGTCATCCCCAGTTGGTCGGTGGCGATTCTGTATCAATCAAACGATAAGAAACCGTGAGGCTCAATCTCCTCCTTCTCTTCAACAGTCCATATCTACAGTGCCTGGGCTATATCCACTTTCTAGTAAGCATTCATTCTCTGCCAACTTTATCCAGACTTGGTGGATAGGAGTGTGAAATATGGACCGTATCTCTTTTTTTAAGGTTTTTTTATTTGCTTTTTAGAGAGAGGAAGGGAGAGGGAAAGAGAGAGAAAGAAACTTCAGTGTGAGAGTGAAGCATCAACCAGCTGCCTCGTGCACAATCCCTACCGGTGATCAAGCCTGCAACCCAGGCATGTGCCCTGACCAGTAATCAAACCTGCAACCTTTCGGTGCACAGGATGACGTCCAATGAACTGAGCCACACTGGCCAGGGCTGGACCATATTTTAACTTGTTTTCATGGGTATTTTGTGCTTATGAGAATTTTCATAATCATTTTGGAAGATGTTAATACCAGGGTGTAACTTAAGCCATTTCTTATTTAATATTTATGGGGGGGGGGTTCTTTTCCTTCACAGGTAGAATTATGTATTTCGAGTCTTTTTTACAAAAATACTTTCACACAAGTTCTCATTTACCCCTTGATCTACCTGTCCCCTTTGAGTTTGGGGAGTAGTTCATGCTTTGTGCTTACCAATACATGCTTTACCCATTCTTTGTTATTGTTCCAGGTCCAAGCAAAACAAATAATAAGGAAATGTCACAGGACACACTGCTCACTCTAGAAAATAATCCATGCCAGCATGCACTTTTCACCTCCCAGTCAGAACACAAGGATGTGGCTGATGGTAAGATTTCTGAATGTGCCAGTGTAGAAACTCAGCAGTCAGCTGTACTTTATCAAGTGGAAGATGACAGGCAGAGAATGGCACCAGTTGTTAGTAGCTCCGCTTACACTGCTACTTCAGTTCGTACAGTTCCAGTGAAATGTGAGGGACCCACCAACCAAGCAGGGACATTTCTACCTGTGCTTCCCTGTCACCAAGCTGCCACTCAGGCTAATGTACTTACGGCACCTTCTGGCGAGTCAACTCAGATTGCTGGTAACTCTCTTAAAACTTCAGCATTTATTTCTGATCAAAGGCCTCAATCCTTATCAGTGCAGCAACCAACTGTGGATGCAGAGTTTATTTCCCAAGAAGGAGAGAAAACCACAGTGAACACTGAAGCAAGTTCTCCTAAGAAGGTCATCCCCACTCAGACCCCCGGCCTTGAACCGTCTGCCCTTCTACCTACTACTGTCCTGGAATCAGATGGGGAAAGACCTCCAAAAATGGAGTTTGCAGATAACCGAATTAAAACTCTAGATGAAAAACTAAGAAACTTGCTCTATCAGGAGCATAGCATGACTAGCATCTACCCTGACAGCCAGAAGGACACCCAAAGCATAGACTCTCCATTTTCTTCCTGTGCTGAAGATACACTCTCGTGTCCAGTGCCAGAAGTCATAGCCATCAGTCACTGTGGAATTCAAGACAGTCCTGCACAGTCCCCCAGTTTTCAGCAGACAGGCTCTAAGGTTCTGTCCAATGTGGCTGCCAGTCAGCCTGCTAACGTGTCAGTGTTCAAAAGGGACCTGAATGTGATTACTTCTGTGCCCAGCGAATTATGTTTACATGTAAGTATGATTCTTTCTAAATAATTCCTTGTCCCTGTGCTTTTAAAAAATGCATTCTTTAAAAATGTATGTTTTTATTGATTTCTGAGAGGAAGGGACTGGGAGAGAGAGATAGGAACTTCAATGATGAGAGAGAATCATTGATCAGCTGCCTCCTGCTTAGCTCCTACTGAGAACCAATCGAACCGTGATTTCCTGGTTCATAAGTCAACGCTCAACCACTGAGCTACACCAGCCAGACAAAACATTCTTTGCTAAAGTTCTATCCTTCAGAATGTAGTTAATTGTCTGTGTCACAAGATTCCGAGGGCACAGGTATTTCAGAAGACCATCTTACTTGCAGGTGTCCAGAGCTTCTCAACAGATGGCAGACCTATTTATGGTAAGAGCGCCCTCTGGTGAATTAGTTAGGAACTTGCAAGCCAAGTCTGTTTTGAATTAATAACAAGAACAGGACTAATTTATTGATTTTGTGGGTAGGAAGAACTTACTTTTAGATTTACAGTTAAAAATGTTTGTTGTTAGTTTCCTTTTCAATAATTTTATGGTATTAATGTAATCTTGTTTTTGTGGGTTTTAATTTATTTGAAATTTTTCTTTATGAAGAAAGTAAAAATCATCCACAATCTCATGACTTTCTTTTTTAAGTTACATAACGTAGCAATTTAATTTCCCTTTTCTGTCTCTTTAAATCATGGAAGTAATCATTATGTGGTGTTCATCTACTATTTGGTACTTAACCCTTCTTTTTTTAAAAATCATTATTGTTGAAAATATTACATATGTCCCCCCCCATTGACTCCTTCCCACCCACCACCCACCCCACTGCTCCAGGCCTTCACCACCCTATTGTCTGTATCCATGGGAAAGTTCTTTGGGTACTTAACCCTTCTTGACTTGAGCTTAAACAGATCTATTTACATAACTGCAATTTTTCATTCACAAAAATAGGATTGTACTATATACATATTGATCTGCAACTTTATTTTTTCAATTTATAGTATATTATAGTCACCTTTCTAAATCTTTACCACTGTATCTCTATTATTATTATTATATTTAAGTAGTATTTGTGTATACAGTAGGTCCTCGGATTACGCCAGAGATCCGTTCCTACAGCATGACGTAACGCGATTTTCGCCATAAGTCGGAACCCACCTACATAAGCACCTACGTCACTCACATGGAGCACATACATAGCAGTAATGAAGTGAAACAGTAAAAAAAATTTAAAAGATAATTCCTGACCTTTACTTGTGGTAAATAAATAATAAAAAACATAAAGCAGCCCTAACCGGCTTGGCTCAGTGAATAGAGCGTCAGCCTGCAGACTGAAGGGTCCCAGGTTCGATTCTGGTCAAGGGCATGTACCTTGGTTGCGGGCACATCCCCAGTAGGGGGGTGTGCAGGAGGCAGCTGATCGATGCTTCTCTCTCATCGATGTTTCTAGCTCTCTATCCCTCTCCCTTCCTCTCTGTAAAAAATCAATAAAATATATTTTAAAAATAAATAAATAAAATAAACATAAAGCACATATGTACATATGTCGAAATGACAGAACTTTTTTTTTTAAATAAATGAGAGATGGTGATGTAACCATGAAACGACATATGTCGAGGCCAACGTAACCTGAGGACTGCCTGTATATAAAGTAAAATCCATCCCACTTCCAAACCTATAGACATAGCTGTTAATAAATCTTTCCAGACATGGTTTTAACTGACATGAACATATTTATCTAGATATATTTCTTTATATGTGCTATATATTTACAAGGCATGGATACATATTATGTATTTATTTACATACTAGAGGTTTGGTGCACGGATTTGTACACCAGTGGGGTTCCTCGGCCTGGCCTGCACCCTCTCACAATCTAGGACCACTTAGGGCAGTGGTTCTCAACCTTCCTAATGCCACGACCCTTTAATACAGTTCCTCACGTTGTGGTGACCCCCAATTTCATTGCTACAAGTTGAACATAATTAAAACATAGTGATTAATCACAAAAACAATATGTAATTATATATGTGTTTTCCAATGGTCTTAGGCGACCCCTGTGAAAGGGTTGTTCGACCCCCAAAGGGTTCGCGACCCACAGGTTGAGAACCACTGCCTTAGGGGATGTCAAAGAGCCAGTTTCAGCCTGATCCCCACAGACCAGGCCGAGGGACCCCACCGGTGTACGAATCCGTGCACCGGGCCTCTAGTATGCATATAAGATCTTCGGTTAATCTCTTCACACCCCCCTCCTTCCCCTCTTCCCTCTGAGATTCATCAGTCTGTTCCATGTTTCCATGCCTATGCATTGAGCGTCTGCCCCCTGGTGGTCATTGTGCATCATAGCTACTGGCCAGTTGAACAGTCGCTTAGGCTTTTATATATATAGACGCTTCTTTTTTTAATGTTTTTATTGATGAGAGAGAGAGAGAGAGAAAAACATGGATCGGCTGCCTCCTGCACCCGCTACTAGGGACCAAGCCTGAAACCCAGGCTTGTGTCCTGACCTAGAATCAAACTGGTGGCTTTTTGGTGTATAGGGTGACCCTCAACCAATTAAAGTCATACCATCCAGGGCTACATATACTTCTTTACATAGATGGACTGGTTTGCATTTTTTAACAATATATTTTTATTGATTTCAGAGAGTAAGGGAGAGAGAGATAGAAACATCAGTCATGAGAGAGAATCATTGATTGGCTGCCTCATACATGCCCCACACTGGGGATTGAGCCCGCAACCCAGGCATGTGTCCTGCCCAGGAATCAAACTATGACTTCCTGATTCACCAGTCGATGCTCAACCACTGAGCCACACCGGCCGGGTGGATTGCATTTTTCCCCACTTATTTTGTACTATTCATGTCAGTACACACAGTTCCACCTCACTTAAATTTTTAGAACAACAGTAAAATATTTTATTCAATAGATATAATTTAAATATTTGTTTTTTGGTAAATAGTACTTTTAAATTATTCAATTAATACATAAACATGAAAGCAATTCAGAAGAATAGAAAATTTAAAGTAATTGTTTCGTTAACACCCTCCCACCCACCCCACCCCCCATTGCACTCCCAACACGGTTAAGTTCCTGATTTGGGGGGTTTGTTTTGTTTTTAAATATATTTCTATTGATTTCAAAGAGGAAGGGAAAGGGAGAGAGAGTTAGAAACATCAGTGATGAGAGAAAGCCATCTATGGGCTGCCTCCTGTACGCCCCATACACACACTGGGGATCGAGCCCGCAACCTGGGTACGTGCCCTTCCTGGGAATCGAACCCTGACCTCCTGGTTCATAGGCTGATGCTCAAAAACTGAGCCACACCGGCCGTTCTAAGATCCTGTTTTATTTTTTTTTGTTTATTTATTTTTAATATATTTTTATGTATTTCAGAGAGGAAAGGAGAGGAAAAGAGATAGAAACATCAATGATGAGAGTGAACCATTGATTGGCTGACTCCTGCACGCCCCCTACTGGGGATTGAGCCCACAACATGGGCATGTGCCCTTGACTGGAATCCCAGTCCACAGGCTGATGCTCTATCGACTGAGCCAAAATGGCTAGGACCTAAGTTTCTGTTTTAATTCTTGTGCTCATTGCCATTAATAACTAGTAAATAATATACTTATTTATTTTTTGATTTAGTAATTTCAGACAATACCTATTGGCTCACTGCTATGAAGGGTGAGGAAATTATACTTTTTCTTTCCTCCACTTGCACATCTTCCAATTTTTATTAATTATATTACTTTTTAATTTTGGTAAAGTTTAGCATCTATATATTTTCTGTAACTATTGGCTGTACTTTGTCTACAGTTTGATTTAAAGAATTGGAAATCTGCCGAAGCTGGTTTGGCTCAGTGGATAGAGCGTTGGCCTGCGGACTGAGGGGTCCCGGGTTCGATTCCGGTCAGGGGCGTGTACCTTGGTTGCGGGCACATCCCCAGTGGGGAGTGTGCAGGAGGCAGCTGGTCGATGTTTCTCTCTCATCGATGTTTCTAGCTCTCTGTCTCTCTCCTTTCCTCTCTGTAAAAACTCAATAAAATATATTTAAAAAAAAAAGAATTGGAAATCAATAAACAGCATTTATATTATAAATGTTATCTAATGATCATATAATGTAATTAGAACTATAAAAAAATGAAATATAATTCTCTGTCATTTACACTTTGTTATTTGAAGGAGACTTCTTCCAAGTCAGGGGTCCTCAAACTTTTTAAACAGGGGGCCAGTTTACTGTCCCTCAGACCGTTGGAGGGCCGGACTGTAGTTTAAAAAAAAAACTATGAACAAATTCCTATGCACACTGCACATATCTTATTTTGAAGTAAAAAAACAAAACGGGAACAAATACAATATTTGTATTTGCATGTGGCCCACAGGCCGTAGTTTGAGGACCCCTGTTCCAAGTGTTACTGTCAAATGGATTCTTTTGCTTCCTTTAAGTGCCCATTGCTGCATCTTGATCAAACTTACCTGTCATTGTTTCTGGTGTCCTAAAATTCCTCCCTCCTGAAATGTTTCTATGACTGATATTTTAAAATATGTTGCATGAGAGGTGTGTGTGTGTGTGTGTGTGTGTGTGTGTGTGTGTAATGGGTGCACAGTAAATTCAGTTTTTAAAAACCCACTAAACTGTATAGTCTAAATGGCTGAACTTTAGAATATCTGAAACACGTTTTTCAAAGAAAACAGTACCATGTTGGAATAGTAATTTTTTTTTTTAGTAATTTTTTAATGTCCAAATATGTCTTTATTTTACTTCACACTTGATTAATTATATATGGTAGGATCATTTTGAGTTAATTTTTGTATATTGTATTAGAGAAGGGTCCAGCTTCAATATTTTGTATGTGGACATCCAGTTCCAGCACCACTTCTCATTCTTTGTTATTACAAATGGAATTGTTTTCTTAATTTTCTTTTCAGATTTTTTTATTGCTAGTGTATAGAAATACAACTGATTTTTGGGGGGTGTTGTATTCTACAAGTTTGCTG